GCCTTTATTTGGCTTTTCTGGAGAGTGAACCTGTGGAAAAAAAAAACTAAACAAAAAAAACAAAAATTCCAGAGTCTCGGTACCCATCTAAAATAACCTGACACTTCATTATGCAGTTTCAGCAGCCCTGAAGATGGAGAATTCATATTGTTTAAAGGATCATAAATACATTTGCTCTGTTGTTTCAGGACAGAAAAAGTGGATGAAGTCATTAAAGAATGGGAAGGTTCCTTCTTTAAGGACAACCCTCGCTTAAGGAAAAAGTCTGTTTCATTGCGCTTTGATCTCCACCTGGCAGCAACGGATGAAGGATGTTTACACACTAAAAAGAAAACTCTCCCCGACATTGAAGTCAGGCTGGTAATGAGGAGATCTTGCAGTATTCCTTCCATCAAACCTTAACTGATAGCAGATTAACCCAAAGTTCATTTCCAACAGGCTCTGGAAATATAGATGGACTTACACAGCCTGTATCCTGCTACAACCACAAATCTTACTAAGTACTTTGATTAATACAATAAAACCATACAAGTCTTTTAAAAGAAAGGGAGAAGAGCAAGCGAGTTGAGATTCCAAGAAGCCTAACTTCTACTAGTTTTATACTCCGGGTGCAGCAGTTCAGAGGAGGCCACAAGGATGATCAGGGGCTGGAGCACCTCCCGTATGAAGACAGGCTGACAAAGTTGGGGCTGTTCAGCCTGGAAAAGAGAAGCTGCATGGAGACCTCAGAGCAGCTTCCAGTATCTAAACAGAGCCTACAAGGATGCTGGAAAGGAACTTCATCAGGAACTGTAGTGATAGGACAAGGAGTGATGGGTTTAAACTTGAACAGGGGAAGTTCAGGTTAGATCTAAGGAAGAAGCTCTTCCCTGTGAGGGTGGTGAGGTGCTGGCACAGGGTGCCCAGAGAAGCTGTGGCTGCCCCATCCCTGGCAGTGCTCAAGGCCAGGGTGGACAAAGCCTTGGGAGATATGGTCTAGAGTGAGGCATCCCTGCCCATGGCAGGGAGTGGAACTCGATGATCTTAAGGTCCTTTCCAACCCAAACCATTCTATGATTCTGCGATTATTGTGGTTTTGTAGAATTTCACCAAATATTGCAAAAATTAAACTGCAACTTTACACTTTAATATATTCTGCCTTTGTAAAAGAGAACTTGTTTTCTCTTTCTGGAAATGAGAAATACATATTTCATTCTCTTAATTATTCAATATTGCCTACATAGAATGACTGATGAATCCTTGTAATGATTTATATCACAACTGTCATACTTCTTGAAATATATGTTAAAATAACACTTTCTAACAGCATAAATGACATAAAAATATGCTCTTAAAGGAATTTTCTTTTAGAAGTGGCTGGTATTTTTAAACTGATTTTTAAGGCAACAACTGAGCTAAAATGTCTTTCCATTACATGATTATACACATATTTTTAAAAGCATTGTTACAAACCAACAACATTTGAGCCATATTGCTCCGCTGGGTTTGAAGCAGCAATTTCCACTGAAAATCAGCCAGTCTCTTCTGTGTCCACACGTATCTGTACAACTTTCTCAGCCATACCAAGTCAAATTCTCCTCTTTAATTATGCAAATATAAGGAGACAACCCATCATTTCAATGCTATTTAATTAATTTTGTTTCTTATAACAACAAATTCCTCTTCTGACAGATATTATATGTCAGTTTTGCTCTTGATCTTGCACATGTAACAAGTCACTATTATGCCAGAGTACAACTAGTATTCCTTCAAATTAAATGGACAAAATAAGGGCTGCATATTCAAAGTAAAATTCTACCATACCCAGTGAGTGTCCTCCGCTCCTACACAAAGCGGCAAATACAAAGTACAGTAGATGATCTGGCATCCGTACACAGAAAAAACAGAAATGCAAACTCAGACGTATTTCTTTATAATGTTTTGTGCCAAATTTCCAACAAAAATTCAAACAAAATTGTATTCGGAATGATTGTTTATATGGATTTTGAAGAGGCATGGATGTCACCAACTCACCCAACTCACTGAGATTGAAGGGGCTTAGAATCTAGAGAGACCACATAATGGATTTGCTGGATTCACAGCAGCATGCGAGAGATTAATTAAAGTGACAGTATTTGCCTTAGTACTCATGGCATGTGTTACAAACACTGATACTACAAATTTCTTCAGTGATAATTTATGCTTCTGTCTTTTGTTAATGATAAGAACAATGTATTTCTATTTTCAACAGTTCTAGATCTGCTGTATGAAGCTGACTGTTTATCATTAACCTTAATACTGATCTGGTGTTATTAATACTTGAGTAATTGGCATCCTGAATGTATTCGCCTGCTCTAGTATTTTAACTATGCAGCTTTTTTTTGTGCTTATACTCTGTACGTTTTACAGGACTTGAATTTAAACTAAGTTTTAATTGCTTTAAGGCACTTTAAACAGGGATACAAATTTACCAAAGTAAATGATAGTCCTACAATAAAAAAGTATTAAAATTGAGTTTGCCCATGCATATTGTGTTTTAATTTGCATACCTTAAAGGGAAAGAAGTAACAGAGAAATATAAAATAAAGGCCGTAGATAAGAAAATCTAGCACTGCAACCAAGCTTTTTCTAAGCTCTCCTCTACAATTAGGAAGACTCAAATTCCCTAAGAATCTTTATCATAACATGTGAGTGTCCTGCTACCAAAAGTACTCTTTTCCTGTAAATCCCATAACCCTGACTACATCTCAAGTCCTCTGCAAGAAGAAAGTATTCACAGTAACACTCACCCTGATCTTAGCTCACTTTAAAGCTGAATTAAAATAATATAGCACTGAAGCTTGATAATATGTCACGGAATTCTTGGGTTCTGTCCTGCCAATTCAATTCAGAGCAGCTGAGCTATTACCATCTCATACCTCCAGACGTCTGGCATGAAAGCGAGTTTCACTGTCTCAACCTACTTTCCAATCAATGTATGGCCTCATTACAAAGCTGTTGTAATTAAAACAGCTGGAGAAGAGCCAGTTATTTCCAGCCCCCTGGTTCATATGATGCAGTATAAACACTCACATTAAATCCATGAAACTACTCGTTATATAGAGTTTTTAAAACTCAGGCAAAATCTCTCCCTATCACAACATGGAAAGCAGGCAAACAGCAAAGCACAAAAAAACCAACCACAAAACAAAGGAAGGAATACTCTGCTGGCTTTGAAAGCACACCGAATGATTCAGAACCTTTAGCATGGAAAGTGAGCGTCAGTAGCGTAATTGAAAACCATGTTTCAACAAGCTGTGCAAATTTAGAGTGCATTTTAACACTATCAACACCACCACCTTATCAATAAACTAGAGATTAGTGTGGGAAGCAGTCAAAACCAGGTGGTAAACCAGTTCTTTTTCAGCTCTTAATAAGTATTTTCTCACCTTTTCTTCACAAATATTCTGCCAGGGTGAAACTGGTCGACTGAAGGTGGGTTGGCTGCATGAGGAATTTCTTTGATTCTTATCTTAATTGTCACACATTCTTCTACTGCATACCAACAAGTTCCCATTGTGGCCACAGACACCGCACTGAAAGCAGGCAGAGCTCTTGTCTCTTTACTTGTCAGTTTAGGAGGAAATTCTTTCCTGTGAGGGTGCTGAGGCACTGGAATGGGCTGCCCAGGGAGGTTGTGAATGCTCCATCCCTGGCAGTGTTCAAGACCAGGTTGGACGAGGCCTTGGGTGAGATGGTTTAGTGTGAGGTGTCCCTGCCCATGGCAGGAGGGTTGGAACTAGATGATCTTAAAGTCCTTTCCAACCCTAACTATTCTATGATTCTATTTAAAAAATTGAAGGAAACTGGGCTAAAAGAACTGCTGGGATCAAGGAGAAATGGGCCTAACTTGCAGCAATGGGGTATCATTTCAGGTAGTTTTTCTTCATCTTTTACCATCCTTTTGGGTTAAGTAGGGATCACCCATTTGAGCCGTATCAGTCATATGACCACATTTCAATGCCAAACATTACTTTTTTTTATACTTAATTCAGTCACTTGCATGATTTTCACTGAGGTCTGAAACTCTTCACCTTCCTCACGTGGTGTTCTGCAGTTTGGATTTGCAAGCTTTTTGACCACTCCATGCAAGACCTTCACAAGCTTCTGCCAGGAGCTGGTCTGGATAACCCCACTGCTCCCAGCCTGCTGTAACTCATCATCCCCTGTGGCCCAGCAGCTGCTTCAGTGGCTCGGCCTGATTTAGTTTAAAATTGACCAGCAAACTACCCAGATTTATCGGGTCTCTCGCGATCCTGCACGACCAGCCTTCCTCCCCTCACACCTTGCCGCTGCTGTCCCGCCTCCTCGGTATCCTGCTCCGACTCAGCTTCGCTTCTTAGAGCTGCCGTTCCCAAACCACCATTTTCAGCCCCGCGCCGTCTACTTGACACAGGCAAGGCGTCCCCAGGCCTGCCTGGACCCTTCCCCTCGCTCCCTGCCTGCCTTTGCGGGGTTCCCCTGCGGGTCTAACGCCGCAGCGCTGCTCCAAGGGCCCTCCCGCAGGGCCGGACATGGCGCCTCAGGAGGGGGAAAGGCGCCAAACACCACGTGCCAACGGCCCCTCCCCGGCTGCTTGTTCGCGGCCGCAGATTCGCCACCGGAGGCTGCGTTGCGGCCGCTTCCCGCTACGGGCACGACAGCAAAGGGCTGGGTGGAACGTGATGGCAGGCAGTCTCCCGCCCGCACCTTTCCCTCGCCACCACGGGATGAAGGGGACTGAGGCCGGGGCGGGGAGGAGGCGGCGCTGCCCGCTCCACGCCTCAGGAGGTCCGGTGACTGCCCGCACCGGCCGGGGAGGAGGTGCCTTCCCGGTAATGGCTGGGATGGGCGCGGCGTGAGCGTCCGGCAGATTCGCCACGATCGCTTCCGGCCACTACCAAGCAAGGAGCCGTGGGGAGAAGGGCTCGACCCTGCCCGGTGGGGGCTCCGGGACGGGCGGGGGAGGCCAAACCGGCTTCGCCTTCAGAGACCCCGTCGGTGAGCTGCAGGAGGACGGTGGCGATGTGTCGAAAGTGCGGAGCGCAGGACGCAGGCGCTCTCCTCGCCGCCGCCCCGGCCTGGTGAGGAACAAAGGGAGCGAGGCCGGCGCGGGTGAGTCGGGGCGAGCGGGCCTGAGGGGCCTGGCTGGGGCGGGAGGGGGACAGGTCTCGTCCCCGTCGGCGGTCGCTGGGTTTGAGGGGGCCGCGCCGGTGGGGCCCAGGGGGCTGCAGCGGCGTTTCCCTATGGCGGCAGGAGCGAGGTGGGCTCGGCCCTGGCGTGGCACGGGGAAAGGCGGTGGGGCTGAAGGGCCCTCTTCTGGGTCTTCTCCCTTTGAGCGCCTCGAGCCTCACGAGCGACCCCATATCGAAGAGTTTGAGCGGGCGAGAAGCGGAGTGTGGCGTTAGCCGGGAAACTCCACCGGATTCCGGCTGCTGGTGCGATCTCTGGGGAGTTCTTTGAAGAAAAAGGCCGGTAAAAAACCCAGACCGCTTTGTTACTGCGCTCTTCCCGTGACCCCGATGGGCTGCTGAAGGGTCAGTAAGCTCGCGGCCTGTGCGGTGGCAGCGGTGGGTTTTGTACCGTGTAAAGCAGATACTGTTTAATTTGGACATTTATACGTTAATACCAGTTTTCTGAAATAGTGTAAAATAATGGGGTATTCTTTTATTTGTTGAGGGGAAAAAAATACATATCCTTAATAAGAACAAGATAAACCTGAGCATTATTTCACAGCTGATTAGTTGTGAAATGGCTTTAACCCGCCAGAGGGGAGACTGAGATGAGCTCTTAGGCAGAAGCTCTTCTCTGTGAGGGTGCTGAGGCGCTGGCTCAGCTGTGGCTGCCCCATCCCTGGCAGTGTTCAAGGCCAGGTTGGACACAGGGGCTTGGAGCATGCTGCTCCAGTGGAAGGGGTCCCTGCCTGTGGCAGGGGGTTGGAACTGGATGAGCTTTAAGGTCCCTCCCAACACAAACCAGTGTATGATTTAAGGCCATTGTCCTTAGAAAGTATATTCGTTTTCGAAAGAGGTAAAACACCCTTAGTGTTAGAAACTTTTTTCTTTATTTCAGAATTGGAAAAAAATTTTATAATCATTGGTAACTGTGATGAAGCTTCAAGGATTTGGGGTAGCAATGGTGTAATACTTAATAGCATGGTATTCTTTTGTCTTTCAGAAGTACAAATATAATGTCAGGTGGCTGAAAATTTGCCTATCAAAATGTCAAGTAAGTCTTAAGATTTTTCTTCCTTTAACTTGATGAATTAAACATCTGGTTCAGCAGAACCTGTTTGTGAGAGAACATTCTTATTCCTTGCATTAAAAGGAATGAGATAAAGCGTAGTTATTCTTGACCAAACTCTAGGCCTTAAATCTTGCTGAGGCTGATTTGCTGGCATGTTTGCACAGGAAGTCCAAATCTCACAGTTTATTCTGAATCCCCTTTCAAGGCATTTCTGCTTATCCCCTTTCTAATTTATCTGCTTATAAATGGATTTTGTATTTCTCAGTCTTTTGCCTAAATAAAAGGCTGACAATAGAGCAGTTCTGTGGTCTTAACTTTTTTCTCTTTTCTTTCTCTTGTATTCTTTGCTTTATGCTCTTCAGTGGCAAAATGCAAAGTCTTTGAAAGTGGGATTTCTGTCGTGGTTTTGTAAATTGCTTAAAAATGTTTGCCACAGCAGTTACCTTATTAAAAATCATTCAGTTTTTCAAGGGAAAAAAAATGTGCTTGCATTTATATCTTAACAGAAAGGCCATCTTATGCCCCACCTCCTACCCCCGCTCCTGCAACCGTAAGTATAGTGATTTTTCTCATTAACACAGACATGGTAATCTAGTCTTTAATAACTTACCAGAGCAATAATTATGGAGTTGCATCACCTTCCTGTATTGGAAACACAAGCTAGTCATAGTTCATTATTAATATGATATGCATTAATTATATTAATCTCATTTCTTCAGCAGTTTGGCAAAGAGAAGCTGAATAATTTTGCTTTGCCTTTAAGGCTACATCCTGCAGATACTGAATTTTCTGTAAGCAGTCAGTTGGTCTTAAATTATTCCCAGTGGGTTGCACCAGTTCACTGCAATAGTTAACAAACTGATACATTTAATTCTAGAACTTCCCACTCAACCTGTGCCCAGATTATGGGCAAACAGAGCATTTTTCATCTGGTTTTCAGAACTGTGCCCATGTTTGTCCATGTTTAAAAAGGTACTGATATACCAGTACACAGTGGTAAAGAAAGACTTTGAAAGCAAATGCACCTCTTCTGTAGCACTCACATTATGTATTCACATGAGAAAATACAAATCTTTTGTACAGAAGAATGAGTAAGGATGCTATAGTGATTTATTTTCTTTTTTTACTAAAGAAAATTGGGAAGCTGTTATCCAATAGAGTGTCCCTGATTTCTGCATCTGGAATGAAAACTGCAGGATGGCATTTAGATGAAATGTGTGTGATCCTTCAAATTTATCATGCCATACTTCACATTCAGAAAGGCTTGAAAAGTACAGAATGTATAAATATAAGTTATGTTCTTCGTAAACTTCCATAAATAAAACTTTATTTGTGTAGTCTGTTCAGAGTTTTCATTTTGCACACAACGGAATAGATCTGTGCCAGTGTCAGAAGGAACATGATGGCATCTGCTCTTACAACTGGATTCCTGCATCGAGAGCTGTGCACATCCGTGTGTGATTCTTTGGGATGTAGCATGGATACAGCTGTTAAATGGTTTCTATCAACGTGGTACATTCTCTAGTCACTTTAGAAAAGTATATGAAACAAATTTTCAACTAGTGACATGCATGACCTGTCTTGCAAATGTCTTTTGTATTACTTAACTTTGTGCAGGCCTTCAGGTGATAGTCTGTGCTCTGCTAATGCAAGCCCTCAGAGTAGACAAATAACCCTGCTACTTCTGTCCATGGCCAGTTCCAGTTACTACAGTCAACAAAGCACCAGTAGTTAACTGCAGTATTATAGCTGAAGTAAAAATTCTCCATGTAATGCAAGGTAGTTCCCTTGTAACATCTAAATCCTGTCTTACAGAAATAAAGAATTAAGCAGACGGAGATTACAGTTGTCATCTGGTTTTATTGAAGAAGTGTAGTTCAAAACCTGTTATGGTAATACAAAATCTGTAGTAAAATGGTGTCTTATTAAATAGTGACTGTGTATGTTGTGATCACAGCACATGGATTGAGTAAATGTCAGCTGCTGTGGCTGAGATTAAGAAGTTGGCAATAAATATATAGATATAAAAGGCTGTCAAAGGATAATCTTACTCTGTTTAGAAATTAACTACAGTGTGTCTACATGCACTTGAAAACTTCACAAGTTAATGTCGTTTAGCCTATAGGTTCTCTTTGTTCTGTGTTTATTTGTCATGCCCTGGTTCTTGGAGTCCTTAACTGACCTGTGCAAGGTTTGTAGCTGTGTCCTAGAATGGGTTCAGTCAGCAAATCACTTCAAAACACAACTGCATTATGTGCTGCTTATAAGGGCTAAAGTGCTACTAAAGAGTGGGAAAAGTTGTGGATGAAATGCTACAGGATATTGTGATTGCCACAGGACTTCATAATTGCTATTAAACAGTAGATCTACTGGGGTTTTTTTAACCAACAAAATTTGATAGGGAAATGGGATAATGGAAAAAGGCAGGAGAGAGATTTATGTGAGGAGGAAATACAGTGAACCTTCTGATACGTGACTGTATGGTGACGATGGGTAAGAAGGAATTGTAAAGAAATTCAAATTTTCCTCTGCGTTACTGGGGTGAGAATGAATGGATCTACTTTCAGGAATGAACAAAAATGTATTCTTAAATTGTCTTGGATTCAGTCATCTGTTAAGACTTATTTGTAGCCTCTGACCTGTAGATCTTATTGCAGTGGTTCCTCACCTCTGTCAGCCTGCAGCCTACCCCAGAACAGAAGGGGGTATCTCTGAATTGTCATCTTTCCCAGCTTGCATATCCCAGATCCCCAAACTGCATCTGTGAACCACCAGGAAAGTTCAGATACTGGCAGTGGTGCACAGTGAGAGATTTATTCCACCCCCTGTTTATTGACAGTGTAATGTTTGTTGGAAAGGCAGAATGATGGGAAGAAAAGCAGACAGGGATTGTCACTGGCACCTTAAATGTGGATTGTGGGGATTTCTGTGTGATTACTGTGTGCTGTGTTGCTGTGTGAGATTAACCCTTTGGATCCAGGAGTCTTTCTGCATTACTTGGTGGCTTATGTTGGACAATCTTACTAGCCATGAGCTGGGTTTATAGAATACTTGTTTGAAAGAGTTACACTTAACAAAAATAAAATCACCAACTTTAGAAACTTGTAGTGACACTTTTGCTTAAAAATCTTGTTTCCTTAATAGGTTTTTACTGGAGTAAGTTTTGTGTTGAGAAGATACCAACTGCTACACCTCATTTGCTTGTTTAAATTCTGGTTGCTTTTGCATGCCATATTGCAGTTCATTTTCATTTCTGTGTTTTCCTCGTTTGAGCTCATTTCTCATTCGTGTTTTTGTCTCATTTGTTTCCATCAGCAAATGCCCAGCACACCAGGGTTTGTGGGATACAATCCATACAGCCATCTGGCCTACAACAACTACAGGCTGGGAGGGAACCCGGGCACCAACAGCCGGGTCACGGTAGGAGAATCAACTATTACATCATCCAGCAAACAACAGGAATTGACCAGGAACGGCTCTAGGGTTAGGTCCTTCTGAGGCTTGGCTGCTGCCACTTCTTTACAAAACCAGAAACATTACTTCTGACTCTTATTCCACCTCCTTAACCCCCTTCCCTCTCACTCTGAAACCTTTTGCAGGAAAATGGACTTCTTCTCAGCAGTGAAAACAATGTGGTAATCATGTATGATGCAGGACTCCAAAAAGATAGACTGTGGTCTTCAGTGACCACTGCATGTTCAGGGAAGAGTTCTGTAGCCTGGGTATGAATTCTTGGAGGGAGGGAACTGCTCATTTTATCGAGGTTTAGTCAAAGACAGGAGCATTTTGCAAACTGGAGATCATTGGTAATAGTTGCATCATACTGTTGAGCCATGCAAGAGATGCAAGCCTTTCCACTCCTAGTCTGGTAATAACTACGAAGTCCCAGGTTCAGAAATTAGTTCTTTCAACAAAAGTGTGATGATAATAGAATCCTTTCAGATCTCATGTACTCCGTCAGGGTGTGGAAAATGGATGTTGCATTCATTTTTCACAGAGTAAACCAAGTGAGATGGAGTTGAGTGATGAGAGAGGTGATGGCTTTCAAATGCAGGTCAAGTCCTGAGCGTTGGATGCAGTTAGGAAACAAAAATAGACACTGGAAGTGTAACATTTTCTTAACTAACACAACAGAAACAGAGTAAATTCCTGATTTTTGTAAAGTTCCTGTAATTCTTATAACTTCAAGGTTTTCATGTAAAACTTTCTACCTCAAAAGATCTGATTACTTTGGAACGTGATAAAAAGATTTCTCAAGGAACAAATTGATGGTGTGTTTAATGAAGCGTACACCTTTTATGCCTCTTATATAAACCTTCTTTCAGACTTCATTTATGAAGTTCATCTGGTTTGTTAAAACGTTTACAGAAAAGACCTTCCCCATACAAGCTGGAACTTGACTCACGCACTGTCTGAACAGAGACTTTTTTCCTTATACAAGAATAAATCAGGTTTTGTCTGAGAACTTCCATTGTTTCTGTATGTCATGAGCATATACAGCCTTCTCTGCCATGCATATATCAGTGTATGTATGGTGTCTTTAAATCCCTGTTAATTTAAAAGCATTAAACAGTTTCCGTTGATGTTTTCCAACCCATCTGTATGTGTATCTGTGTATACATTTGGTAATGCACATACCTCATGCACATTATTTATACACAATCCTGTACGCATCGTTTCATAGAGCTCCATAAATTCAGCAAAACAAAACATACCAAGAGGAAAAATTGGAAAGCTGAACACTGAACATGGGCTTTCTTGGCCAGATACATTTGCTTCTCTATGGCTGTAGTCCTGAAAAGTCTTGGAACTACTTTATATTTTTATGAGAATGCTCCCACTTCATGTAATACAAGTCCTGGCATGTGGAAGTGCTCGAGGAGTGGGGGTTTCCAGAGCCTGCAGCTGACAGGGACTGTCATGCTGCTGCACTGTTTTAGGAGAAAACCCTGTCAGGTGTTGTGTAGGTTGAGGGGCCAAGAGAGGCTGCAGCAACTTCCCATCCACAACAGTCAGTGGTCGTTGTCTTTTTGTTTAGTGTGAGCAATGTGCTTGTTAGCGTGCAAAGCTAGAGGGAGATAATGGCACAGAAGGATATTAAAGGCTAACTTGGACCATTAAGTACAGTTCAGATAGAGATAATGCACACCTTGATGGCTCAGTTGGATGGGATTTAGTTTAGATTAGTTGGCTCCAAAATACCACTGACAAATTTTGCAGACAAATAGATTGCTAAAATGATTTGAAAATGAAAATATGTCTCTAACTTTCTGATCTTAAACTCCTTATTTTTTCCACCTGTACAGTAGCCCCATTAAATTTGTCAAAACAGGTAGAACAGATTGCTCATCAGAAGTGAGAAAAACGACCTGCTGGGATTGGTATTTTCATTTAAATTTCTAAGCTGCCTATTTCAGTTTAAGAATATGGAGCCCTTTTGAAGGTTTATCTAGTTACTGCTCTCCGAACTTACAGCTAAAAGGGCAGACTTACATTGGGAAAACACGACTCTGAGGACCAGCTCTAGTTAGTACCTGTTCCCAGCTTGGGTGACTTTTGGTGATGTTGTTTGCTTCTCTTAGTGGGGGTGTGCGTGGTTGGTTTGGGTTAATTGCACAAGAGTGAGTGTTTTCCAAAACATATGTGTAGACTCTGCCCAGTGATCATGTTAACGAATGGATTTGTTCGGTTCTTTTATAGGCTTCCTCTGGTATTACCATTCCAAAGCCCCCCAAACCCCCAGACAAGCCCCTGATGCCCTACATGAGGTACAGCCGGAAGGTGGGTATACAGTGTCAACCAAGTTATAATGAAAGTTAGTGTTTGTGTGTGCTAACAATTAATTGCTATTATCTTAGTTTCAGCTTCTAAACTTTGACTTCTAACAGCCTGCACATTCTTTTAAGGGAATTGTAAAGTACAGATGCATTGCCCTTCGCAATGAAGGCAGCAGTAGTCTGTTCACGCAGTTGCCAGTTTCTGGGGGGAAAAGTTTTCTCTAAAATGCTAAGTACTACCACTGTCTGCTGACAAGGATCCGCCCTGCCACATGCAGAAGTTCCTGTGACTTACTGACAGAACTTTTTTATATAAAGGAAGTATTCCTTGCGGTATACTGGGCTTGGTACAGTGCTGTAGCTGGACTGAAGAGTAGCAATGAGTGGACTTTGCATGTTCTCCTTCACCAACCTAGCCTGTGGCACCGTTTACTTCGCTATTCTGTGAACTGTTTGACAGAAAGTAGGAGAGAGACTCTTGTGGAGTCTGAAATCTGATGGGGCATGGGGAGGGCATGTCAGCCTGGCTGAAGCGGGTGAGCCAGAAGGAATTCCTTCCACTTCTGGTAAAATACCTTTACCAGCATGTCTGTCTTAGGCAAAAAACCATCAACAAAAAAAAGAGGTCAAGTGGCACAGCAAGAAATAACACTGGCAGCTCTCCTTTTTGGTTTTTCTTTTTCCCTATAAAGTTAGAAACTTTCTTGGTGGAGTCAGAACTTGTTGGAACTCAAATTGATCAGCAAGACTGCAAAATATTTTGCAATGTTACATTCTGATGTGAAAAGCTCAGTGCTCTTTATCATAACCCACTGCTGGATGTGTTTACTCAGTAGCCTTTTTTTTTCCCCGAGATGCAGCGATGTGCATTTAAGAAGAGAATTAAGAGGGTTAAAGGCAATATTCTCATGAAACCAAAGCCATTTCAGCAATTGCCTGTTTCAGTAGATGGCTTCCTACTGACCTCCTGCCCCAGAAAATAATCGAGATAGTTTAGCCAGACTCATTCCTAACTTAATCCTGTTTTTCATGGTGATTCCAGAAAGAACACTGAGATGACAATATAAAATGTGTAATTTGGAAGTATTTAGATATCATTAGTAAAGCTCCAGCTGTTTCTGTTAAGGTCTGGGACCAAGTGAAGGCGTCCAATCCTGATTTGAAGTTATGGGAAATTGGCAAGATTATTGGAGGAATGTGGCGAGATCTCACTGATGAAGAGAAGCAAGAGTATTTGAATGAATATGAAGCTGAAAAGGTAAATGGAAGAAATCTGGGATGTTTATTACAGCTGATTCTTCTAGGAACTGGTCTGAGAAGAAAAATTCATCTTCCCCATGCAGTGGTGTATGAGGCATTCAGGAGACCCCTGTATGTAACTTAAATGGAAGTTATATCCTGACACATCTTTTAGATTTTTTTAAATAACTGTACATCAACTGTGACTGGTCAGCTTTTAGACCTAATTCAAAATGAAGTATTGATAATTGAGAGTCGATTTTAACTGTTTAATGAATGGATTTGCTTGTACAACATCAGTATTGAAAAGATTGTCTCAACACCAAAATCCTCTTTCAAAACTGGTGCTCTGCAGCTACTGCTATTGTCATGAACGTGTTCATGAAAGACTTCCAGTCACGTAGGGTTTGGTTTTCATGGTGTAATCTGGTGTCACTCCACGCTATGACACAGTGTTTTGTTTTCTTAAAATGTTACCACTTTTAGGGTTTTTCTTGTGATTTTGTTTTGGTTCTGTTGATCCTGATGACGACAGATGACAGCTACCTGTGTGTCTAGGTTGGTAAATGTTGAGGACCTTGACAAGACTGGCATTGTGATCCTGAGGTAACAAAGGGAATTGTCCAACTGCTGTGTTGTCCTTAAACCTGGTAGGCATCTGAGGCTGTGTGTAACCTGGTCAAATCTAAGCTGTTTTTATTGCAGGTCAATAGAGAAGCGCTTCAAAGCTGGATGCTCTCAGTTGAAGCAAACAAATAATCAAGGGATTCTATTTTTTAACTTGGTCATGATGTTTAGATTGTAAGCTCCTTGGGGCAGGGGCCATCCTGGTCATATTTTTCCAGTGCCTAGGTAGAAGTATTCCAGTCCTAACCATGAAGAAAACAAGATGCTTAGGTACCTTTAACAAATTAACATTATGTAGATTATTTTTTTTCATTGGAAGTATCTCAGATCATTGTACAAAATCTAGACTTGCCACATTTAAAAAGTGAGATTAAAGAAAGCAAATCAAAGGGCAAAAATACTTCAAAGAAGGCGAAAATAGTGGTGCAGACCTGCTACCAGGTGGAGACTGTAGTCTGGCTGCAGCATTCTGTATCATCCCAGGGCAGGGATGGATCAAAGAATGGAAAAATCTTAAGTTATTTTGAAAACTGGTTCATGACATACTGCAATAAAGAAAGAGAAGAAATCAGAGTCAAAAGATCTAGTTAGAACTCCAGAGATTTATTGAGAGTATGTTAAGTCCACTAATTATTTTTATCCTATCAGAGTTCATCTGATCATAAATGCCTTGTTCTGAGGCAGTTGCTTTTTAACTCTCAAAAAACAAAGCTGTTGTTTAAGACTTCTCAGGTATTAAAGCTGAAGCATACCTAGAAGCACAGCTAGTGTTTCTAAAACATGAATGACTACGGAAGAACTTCCAGTTGTTAAAAAGAGAATACAGTCATTTGTGTATCACTGGATGATTCAGAATAGCTTTATCTGTACAACTACAACACGAGTTGTACAGGCTGCAGTTATGTCCAGGCTGAAATCATCCCCTCGTGCAATCAAACGCTATTGGTCACGTTTCAGATAGAGTACAATGAGTCCATGAAGGCCTACCACAACTCTCCTGCATACCTGGCCTACATCAATGCCAAGAGTCGTGCGGAGGCTGCGCTGGAAGAGGAGAGCCGCCAGAGGCAGTCACGCATGGAGAAAGGGGAGCCCTACATGAGCATCCAGCCCGCAGAGGATCCCGATGGTAAGCGCAAAGGGGTTTGTGTGCACATCCACTGAGACAGTGCCATTACAGGACCAGCAGTAGAGAGAAACAGATGGAGATACAGAAAACTACCAGTGTACAGCTTACAGTGCTTAACGCGACTTCCTTCCTATTTTAGTACCTTCAGTAGTGATTTTCATTGTCAAGTTTTATTTCATACACCTAACAACTGACTTTTTCTTGATTCCAAGGTGTCAAAAGTTATTTCAACCTTTAATTATGATGAAGTTATGCTTACAGTTCAAAACAAGTAAGTCTGCTTAAAGCCCTGTAATGGCTTTAGTATATGCATTGTAAAAGGCTTAGATGCCTGGTGTTTAATCCAGCTCAAATGAAATTGTGTGCTTTATTACCAGAAGCACATAATTTGGATAGGCAGAGCTCTGGTATGATTAAGAGCACCTGAACCTTTAATCTGCTCAACAACTGTCAGTTGAGATTGAGGACATCAGTTACCTTTGCTGCTGGCAAGTTGATAAGAAGGTTCTCAAAGTTTACTTGAGTGCGAGGAAAGGCCCCACCCGGTGGGAACACTCAGCCCTAGCCACCCAAGGGCTGCTCTGCAGTTCACAGCTCAATGCTTGTTGAAACCTGAGGGGGAAACATGTAATCAGTTACACCCATTTTTTCCTTCCCCTTTGTAAATGCACACCTTGGTAAGAAAGCACACAACAAGCAGCATTTTACCCAGTGGGAGGTAACTGCAGAATTCATGTGAATACATTTAGTGTTCCAGTAGCTGGCACTGGGGACTTAAGGAGTTCAGCTGGATCCAGCTGCATGAGGCCCCAAGTTGCATCTCTTCCCATCTGGGACCAAACAGCAAGTTATTTCTGTGACAGAAATGTTGCTTCTGTCCCATCCTGCCCATCACTAGGATTAAGAACTCTCAGCATGAAAGGAATCTTAGTAAGAGGACAAAGGCACACCTTTAAGGAGACCAGTTTGCTCAATACTTTTTTGTCTCTTGCAGATCTATTGCCTTCCCACTGTTTTTCCTCTTTGCTCCATTTAATTGGGTACCTCAATGAAAAATTGAACATAACACTTTGAAATAAAGGAGACAGAAACTTTCATTAAAGTGGTTACCTTCTTTTGTTACATCTTCCTGCATGATAGCTTAGGACTCTTCTTAAGATCTCTCTGAATAGATGGAGAATGATCTCGATTATGAGAACTTGATGTGAAATAAATTTGACTTCTGGACTCTTCTACGTGACATCCTTCTGGAAGATTATTCATACTTGGTGCTTAACTGACTTTAATACTCAGCTAAATTTGAGTTATGCTCACATAAGTTTCTTCTATTTCTTTACCAGTATTCAATGCTATTTAATTACTATGCTTTAAATTCTAATCAGTTTGACTTTTAATATTGCATAATGCTATGGTTCATGTTAAATTCTGTGACTCGATTAAAATTGCCACATCTTGCCAGAAAATCAGAAGCTCTTTTAATTGGATCAGAGAGAAGAAAACTAAATCCTTGACCTGAAATATTCATAGTTCTTTGTGATTAATCCTGTGGAGAAATGTCAAACAAGACAGTTCAGTTCCTGTTGTGCTGCCTTTAATTCCTTTTCTGCACGAGAAGCTTATAAGGAGACGAGCACCTTGACCCATGTGCTCATGTATTTTCTCTCTTGAAGTGTTTTGGGGTTTTTTTCTGTAACTGTTCTTCAGTGAACTGCATTTACTAAAAAAATAAATCGTTGCTTTTAACACTTTACTGTGACTTTTCAGTGATGAGTAAACGTATCACTGCTTGAGTGATTCCTCGAGTACTTCAAAACCAGGCTGTCTGATCTGTGCTACAAAGCTGATTGAGAGAGGAGTCACTCTCCTGTTGGTATTTTGTAGTTGATACTGTTCTAATAACACAATTGATCAGGAATGTGTAGGTTTGGGTTTATTTGGTGTACTAATAGTCCCTCTTGCTCTGGAAAGGCAGAAAGCAGCACAGTAACTAATTTCAGGCTTGTAGGAAATGCATGTCAAATCCCAGCTGTTAGAGCTGTGCCAGGTAAATTGTCCTCATAAGGTGATTTTTCTGATGACCTGATGTTCTGTATGTGTTATTTGAACTTTGTGATGCGACAGCAACTGGTGTTAAGGTTTGCATCTTGATTTTAAGAAGTGGTACCAAAACTAGACTTGGTCCTGGTTTTGTGGCATTAAAGCAGTTGCACTTAACGCTCTTTTTTTCAGACTATGACGATGGGTTTTCTATGAAGCACACGGCCACAGCTCGTTTCCAGAGGAACCATCGTCTCATCAGTGAGATCCTGAGTGAAAGCGTGGTGCCTGATGTCCGCTCTGTGGTCACCACAGCTAGAATGCAAGTTCTGAAACGCCAGGTTCAGTCTTTAATGGTTCATCAGGTAAGGACAAATGATATGAAGTGTTGGTGAAGATAATGGTGTTGGGCTGTACTCCAAGTCTCTGATAGTTTGATCATCTGCGTGACTCTTCTTGTTGGGTGTCAGTGTTCTCTACGCTCCAATAGCTCATCTGTCTTGGGAGGTGCAAGACATGAGGCGTCACCTCCCGGGCTGTTTTGTTATTAAGAATCATGTTAAGCTCTAGTGTGTTTTTTAGGATATCTTAAGTATCAACTCCGCACCTCTTCACTGTTACACATAACCCTTGTGTACGTATTGGATTCTCCTGTTTAATGGGCGCTGGTGGAGTTGTGACTTTGGGGTAGCTTACGACTCATAATCTTGTTTGTAACGCTTCTTTATTCCAGTAAATGGTCCCTATTGTAACATTGTTAAATACATACAAAGAAATCTAGTGAGGTGTTTCACTTTACTTTGACTGGGCATATGCCTCTTTTCCAAACATGTACATTACCAGAAGACCCCTCTGTCAGTATAGTCAGCGTACACATAGGTGAAAAAAACTGAGACACCAGAATTTAATGAACAAAAGCAGATCTGGAGGGGGGTGGTATCCCTTCTTTCCTTTGAATTGTGGTCTTTCTGCATTAGAGAATGTAATTTATGTGTTCCATTTGTACATACCTGTGGGGTGTATAATATGAAAGAAAACATGTAGGTTTTGTGCTGGAAGATTCACCTCAGGTACATATATAGTGTTTTCCACTTACAGTACACCTCGCCAATCCTGAGTGACCGCAAAGACCTGTTTATTCATACTTTTCAACAGCATAAAGTCATTTCTATATTACATAGGTATATTTTTTAATACCGGTGTATGTATTTCTATAGGTAGCTGTAAACTGTGTCCTGCTCTCCGGATGACAGCATAGTAAAGTTCTCACCATTTATCTCATTTCCAGCGTAAACTGGAAGCTGAGCTTCTACAAATTGAAGAGCGTCACCAGGAAAAGAAGAGGAAGTTTCTGGAAAGCACAGAATCCTTTAACAACGAGCTCAAAAGGGTACAACTCTTGTTTTTCTCCACTTTGAGGAATCTGCTAGTTACCCATTTGTACAAGTGCTCTCCCCACAGTTCTGTATTTCAGTGATGTGTAATTACACAGCTGAGGACTGCAGCGTCCTTGTGTGTGCATGCTGGAAAGTGCACGGGGTTTGTGCTGTTTCATGCTCCATCACTGACCTTTAGTGGTGACATTCAGCCAGTACAGCTTGGAAGTCCCCTCAGGCATCATAGCTTGAGCTCATGGCAGAGTAGCTCCGGCTCAAGGAAGGTGGCCTAAAGCCACTGCTCTCTCTGTCCTTGTCTGCATTCAAAGAACAAGCTTTAGCTGGTTTATTCCCCCCTTTTTTGATAACATGCTTGTGCCTCTGCCCAGTTACTGATGTGTCTCCCTCTCTAGTTACTGATTATAAAGTTTGACAAAGCAAAAGAATCTTGATTTAGAAATGCTGTGCTCATCATTGGGTTTACTGATGTTTTAACTGAGGTAGTAAAAGCTTTCCTGGTTTGTCTCTCTTTAATTGCCAGTTATGCAGTTTGAAGGTGGAAGTGGATATGGAAAAAATTGCTGCTGAAATTGCTCAGGCGGAGGAACAGGCTCGCAAGAGGCAGGAGGAAAGGGAAAAGGAAGCAGCTGAGCAAGCGGAACGCAGCCAAAACAACATCACAGCTGAGGAAGAACAGGCAGCTAACAAGGCAGAGGAGAAGAAAGAAGAGGAGAGTGCTCCAATGGAGACAGGTAAAGGCACAAGAAGCCCATCGTGGCCAGGAGCGTGCTCCCTCTGGTTTTGCTGTGAGTAGGAAGAAAGGCTTCAGCACAATAACAGTCAGAATAGAGATCTGAATAGAGATCAGAATTCATCTTTGTGACCTGACACGTCTGCTTTGTTCTTAAATTGCTCCTTTTTAAACAGGAGAGAATAAAATACCACAACGCCCTGTTTAATGCTTTGAGTTATGTACACAAGGGGAAAAAATGCTTTCTAAGCCCCTCTCATCCCTTAAATACAGGTTAGCCAGAAGCAACTGAGAGTTTCCTTGTGCTGGTATCAGCATTAGGAGGACATGACAGCACTTATCCCCTGCTGCTCGCACCAGCTGGTGTGCAGGTTTTTTGTGTTCTGTACAGTGACATTAGAAAATGTTACTGGACTGGAGCTTGTCGGTTGTCAGTAAAGCAGCGAGCTGTTTGCCATACCAGAGTAAGCACAAGGGAAAAGGCACCAGGGAGCTGGAGTTGTGCTTCTGGTGTAACAAGGCTTTCTTATGGCTGACTTCTTGTTACAGAAGAGCCTCACCCAGAAGAGAGCACAGAAACCCAGCAGAACGGAGAAGAAGGAACATCCACCCCCGATGACAAGGAGAGTGGCCAAGAAGGGGGCGACAGCACCGCAGAGGAGGGAACCAGTGACAGCAACACTGGTTCTGAGAGCAACAGTGCGACAGTGGAGGAGCCTCCTGCAGACCCCAGCGCCGAGGACACTGAGAAGAAAGAATAAATATTGACTCATTTCATGTGTCTCTTTAAGGAAGTACTGGTTTAGTTTCAACATGTGCTATGCAGCTTTTATATATTCCCTGCCTGTATCCCTTGTTCCCAAAGGATATTGGGCTTCAGTAATGTGTCACATTATCAGCAAACTGACGTCGAGGGGCCTTTAGAGGCACAGGGTGGCTTAAAGCAGACAGAAAACCTGTTAAAATACAGATAGGTCCTTCCTATTGCTTGGGATGTCTCCCCTAGAAGAACAGGTCTGGTTTTGGTTTTTACGTTACAAATCAGCCCTTCTACTGTTCTACTTACATGATAACAGTGAGGAGGCCTTTCGCAAAGGCCCCTCTTGGCTGTTTGTGGCTGAAATGTGATGCTGATGGGCCTCTCTCTCTCTCTGGGGGCCTCCTGAGGAGCTTGGCTCTGTCCTGACACATCAGCTTACTGCACCACGACCCAGAGCATGTCCTTGATCTCACAAAACCAACCCCCCAGCAGCCCCCCTACTTTGGTTCTGGCCAGCCAGGACCCAGCTCTTTGGTTTTAGAGAAAGCTTTTGCTACTCATGGGTGCTCCTAAGTAAGGCTGATGGGCTTGGTCTTGGGGGGTTTTGGTGCAAGAGAAGCTGTTCTATAGTGACAGAAACTTGCTCACATTCCACATGCAACATTTCAGGAGATCCACTTCCAAAGGAATAAGTTTTAACTGTCCTTTTGCAGTAAATGATATATGGTGTGGGGGGGGGTGGTTTCTAATCAGAACTGCCTTTGCTTTTCTGTACCAATAAACTCCTTTATTTCCTACTTAGAGACCAAAATCACCCCATTTTGTCCCATGTTAACCTGAAGCCCTTCTGAAAATAACCCACCGAATTGCAACAACAGACAGAAGCTGCTTCCTGTACAACTAAGAGAACACATGATGCATTGCAGTCAATAACCTGGAATGTTTTTAGGGAATAGTGGGTCTAGGGGTGGTAATGGTTTGTAAATCCTTTTGGTCTTTTTTTTTTTTTAATGGTTTAAATAAAATCCAGCAAGTTTGGTTTTTTTAAACTCACAGTGCTCTGGTTCTTGTCTCTTAAAGAATGCCTGTGTTTGATTTAGGGCTTCTACCAGCTGCCCTCCTTGAGCCCGGGGGGGGGAGTAAAACCATGGAATTAATTAGTGACATATCCAACATACAAACAGTTACACTGGAAAAGGGCTTGGAAAACCAAAGCAAGAAACCTCTGAGCTGGCCTTGACTTGTGTTTGAACACTGGCTACATCAGGAAGGATCTTTAAAACCAGTGAATGGGAGAAGCTGGGGGGGAAATAATGCTTGGAAGTTGTTATTGAGGCACTGCCTTGTATGCACACACAAAAATGAGCCAGTGGCAATTGAGATTTAAAAGAACAAATGGAGTTGCTTGTTCCTGTTTTATTCCCTGATTCCATCCTGGATCTGATTGTGCACAAACTACTGGGAGCAGAGTCCTGTTAGCTGAGCTCCCTTTAATGAAGCATGTTGGTTACACAGAGATTACACCTTAACCTACACACCTGAAGATTTATTTACTGCGTTTTGCTCTTCTAAAAAAGCATTTTCTGGAATGATTGTTGCTGCCAACAGAGTTTGATTACTTAAATGGTACCAGCTGCTCCCTGGACCACAAAGGGGCTCAGGTGGAATCAGTTGGTGCAGGAGTAGGAGGAGGTTCTGCACCTCCCGTGCTGCAAATGCTCCTTGTGCCACAGCTCTCTATGCTGGGCTTCTGCAGGCCCCGTGTGCTTTTCATCTCCTCTGTGTTCTCAAGGTGTATGCAAATAACAGTCATTACTTGGCACAGGCAGGGTGTGCTGCACCTCAGTGAGTAGGTGTCGACTTCAAGGGCAAAATAACTCCTCCAAGCACATGCAAACCTGAACAAGTGCCTGGTGGGCAGCGTTTTGAACACTGACCAGCCCCCAAGGGACATGAGCATCAGGGACTGGCCTGGTGAGAACCCCGGCTCCTTTGCTGTGCTCCTGCAACAACCCTTCCCCATCCCTGCTGCTCCCCAGGCTGCAGCTGGGAACTGCTGCCCACTTGACACCTCTGATGAAGAGCAGCTCATTGGAGCTCCTCATGAGCCCACACACCCACCTGGAGGGGCTCAGCAGGACCTGCTGCCTCCCATGAGGAGGATGGAGCAGTTAAAGCCCACGAGTGGGTTGTGCTCTTGCTTGGTGGGCTCTCTGGTGTTAACCTGGTTGCTGCTTTAAGTCTTCATGTGCTTTATGTGGCAAAGGGGTGTCATCTCCTGGAGCTCCTGCTTCCTCCAGCTGTGGTGAGTGTCCCCTAGCTCCTTGGGGACATGCTGCTGTGGGTGCAGGCTGTGCTTTGGGTGCCGAGAGCGTTTGTACCACTGGAGACAGTCGCTGGGCCCCCCCGGGTGCCTCAGAGCTGGCAAGTCTTTCACACCCACAGGGACTGACACGGAAGTGAAGAGGCAAATCCAAAGCGTTGCATCACGGTGAGGGAGTTGTTTTCTCTGCTTTGTTTTTAATGTTCGTGAAAAAAACAGTTTTCTGAGCTTGCCTGGTGTTCTGTGACCTCTGACATCCGCACAGCTCTGCTGTTCTGTGCCTCCTGCAGGTAAAGTCAAGGAGGCAAAGGTTCCCTTCTGCACTGGGTACTTCTCAAAACTATGCTTTTATCTCACCACAAAAATACATTTTGTAAAGGTTATGAAGAAGCCTGGGTTAAAAAAAAAAAAAAGCTCTTAAAGGGTTTTTTTGGGTTGCTTTTTTTTATTACTGCATTACTGTAATTATTAGATTTTATCACCCAAAACACTTTTGACCTACAAAACTGAGCTAGAAGAACAGGCCCACAGCATGGAGCAGGCCCCAAAGGGGAAACACTGAAAGGGTTTAGATGTTCAAATATGAACCAGGCCCCTTTTGAGATTGTTCAAAAGCAATTCCAGAGGTGCAGTGCTTTGCTCCTGGTAAAATACAGGTGGTTTATGCTCCTCACTCTCCTCCCAGAGCACTCACCTGTGTACGTGACTGCGGTCAGCATCCCATGAAAGACAAAAGTCTGATGTTTGTCCAGCAGCTAAACTTCAGGAGGAACAAAATCCCCAAACTTCTTGGGGGTTTAAGCAAAATCATCACCTGCGTGTGCATCACGTGGGAGGTTTGCAAAGCTGATGGGCTTCCAGCAAAATGAGGGCTTCGGGTGTCGAATCTGTGCTTGCAGAAAGGATTATCCCTGTGACAGAAAGAAAGCAGATTAATTGAGCTTTAGAGGGATGAAATGTCAAAGTAAAGCCGAATCCTGGCACAAATGGAGGCAAGGGCAGCCCATGGTGTGTGGGGAAATGGGAGCTGCCGCTCGCAGCATCGTGTTGTGCTGGTGTGCAGCAGCTGGGTCTCCAGTTACAGAGCAGGTTCTGTCTCGTGGGTCCCTGATAGTGTATTTCTCCCTTTGTTCCTCCCAGCTGTTGTGCTGAACCCCAGCTGGGCAGCCCTGGCTTTTTATTTGATAAAAAAAAAACAACAAAAAAAAAGCTATTTTGGATTATTTTCTCAATTTATCAAAAGCTGCTTGAAGAAAATGCCCCCGGCCACCAACCCAACACCCCTGTGCTGACAGCGCCACTAAAGCTGCACCATCTTCGCTCCTTTGCTTACCTCTCCTTCCAGCCCTTCAACTGACAAGTGTTCCCAGCAGTCCCAGCTGCTGGAATATTGGGAATCCTGCTCCTCAGCGGCTCCGGATGAGCTGCGGCGCAGGCTGGGAGCTTGCAGAGTGCATGAGCTGGATCAAGCGCTGCCACCAGGCGTCTCTCAACGTCCTGCCACTGCCTGTGTGGAGCTGGAGCGCAGGAAAACACCGCTGTACCCTTGGGTGCGAACTGCTCCTGGCTCTTACCCTGCTCTTGTGTAACACCTAGGAAGTGGCAGCCAGCAGCATGACTGCAGCAGGGCTGTGCATTTGACTCCCCCCATGCTGCAAGCCTGCGCATTGTGTTGTACCGATGCATCAGGTACCGCACGTGAGCTTACCTGCACGCTCCTGTTTGCAACTGAGTGGCAGTTATGGGTTTCTAGCTTCACCTAGATGATGGCAAAGAGAAAAGCATTAAAAAGAGCACAGACTCTATCTTCTTCCTTTTCTTTTTCCAGCTTTCTAACAAAAAGCTATTGTGGAAAATGCTCCAGGTGTGACAAAGGGATCCCAGGGAAGAATCCTGTGTGCAGGGGCATTGAGGAAAACCACTTCTGCACCAGCAAAGGTTGGTCTGGGTCTGTGTCTCCTGCCAAGAAGGGTCAGTCCAGCTTGTTTTCCCAGGCAAACGGATGCCATTTTCACTTTGCTCTTGGGTAACTTGACATGCCCCTGCTCAGCAATCCTGCTACACATGATTCAGTTAGTCCATAAGGAGAGTTTATAGCTGCACTCATTTAATTTTCAGTGTGAATTAAGATAAACTGAATCAAGATCATGTTAATTCCCAGTAAGAGTGATCTTTGTGTGGGCTTAATACGGTTTAACTAATCCACTTTAGTCTGTGCAAGTGAATTTATCAGTATATCCTTGGACACTTCAGGGAAAAGAAATAATGGATTTGAACTGGGAGAGGGAGATTGAGATGGGATCTTAGGAAGAAGTCCTGGCACTGTTGGGAAAAGGGACCGACAAGTGTGCGGTGTTCAGGAACCGGCTGCTGTCAGAACAGTTCTTATCACAGTTCAGATGGAGCAGGGAATTCCGGATTTGAGCCTTGCCTTTGTTGTCAGCTCCCAATGACTGCTACTGCATGCCTGGGCAGAGAAAAGCAGGTCTGGGTGCTGTGATAGATGCTGCGGGTGCTGTAATAGATGCTGGTACAACTTTAGCAGAGGCTAGGAATCAGCTTGAAGCTCTCTTGGCACCTTGGATAACCGAGTGGAGAACAGCTACTACGCTGGTGACTTGAGAGCAGGGATTCTGCTCTGGTTTAAGTCCGTCTCTTGTTGTTCTCAGTTCCCTTCTTTCACTTTGATGCTTTTTTTTCCACAGCCTTCGAGGGGTTTTTTGAAGTGGTTTTGCAGTTATCGGGTTGGTGTCTTATTTTGGTGTAAATCATCACGTACAGCCTCACTTGTGACTTTGAGAAGTCTGTAGTTTCTGTAAACAGCTACTTTCAATTTGCCCTTTTTTTCACTCAATTCTATTAAGAAGGCAAGGAAAAGCTCCTTTAATCCTGGCACCAATTCCAGAAAGAGTGACAGTAACAACAGAGTGAAAAATCAAATGGGATTTGTTTATGATCATTTCCTAAGGCCAGGGATGAAGAATCCCAGGTGTGTGACAGAGGTGACCGGATGAGCTGCTCTTGGAGAAACCACTGACGTGGTTATTCCCTGTTTCTAAATCCAGCTTGCTTTCAAAGACAGCAGCAGACTGGTGCTCAGTCTTGCACCTTCTGAACAGGGTAACATCAGCTTGCAGGAAGGATGCTCCCTGTACAGCCAGCAGATGCTTTAACCCTCAGTTTTCTTTAGGAGACCCAATGCTCTCTCTTTATCTCCCTAAACAAGTCATTGCTCACTAGGGAATGAAGAACAGGGAAGGCTTCAAAACACTCTCTAGACATAACCAATGGCCGTGGACCACTTCCTTCCTACTTCTTATCTCCTCTCCTTTCCCCACCTGTTATCCTGGGGCCTGCACTGTCTCTCACATTAGCCCAGGCCAGAAAGGATCTGTTTGTTCATCACAGGCCCCTCCGTGTACAAACGGCCCTGGTGGTGTGGGCACAAACTGAAGCAGATCTCCCAGGAAGCCACCAAGCCTGGGCTGAGGGCACAGAGGAGCCACCAGCACAGGGGGGTAGGGGCCAGGGGTAGCAAGCAGAGGGGCTGTGCCTCTGCCAGCCTCCATCTCTGAGTACGTTTCCCTCCTCACGGCTCAGCTCCTGCACTGCTGGGAAGCTGCCTCAGTGCGGGGCAGATGCCGGTCGCCTAAAACTGCCCCTTTTCTGCTCCAAAAATAAACTGGGGAGAAAGGCCATCACCCGTGGCGTGACGCAGGCAGGGGGAAGC